CCACATGTACTCAGTAGTAGACAAAAGACCACCACCAGCCTTGCTAGAGCATCTATAGAGGCACCGGGCCCTCCCCATCGTGGTGACGAGCGTGGTCGTGCCTATAATTGCCCATTGCGTTCTTGCGTGAAACTCGCGTCCTTGTGTTCCTGCGTCCTGTTACTCCTCGTGTTGCCCTCGTGTCCTCGTGAACCAGACCCCACCGCATTGCATACCCCTCCTGACTCGAGCCACCACGGCGTCAACAGCTGAGAGAACCGAGCAGCGTCGCCGACGTTCTGACGCAGTTTGGGCACTAGTAGCCGCTGGAGAAGAATCGAGATTGAGACTCGGTTCGCCAACACATCGCGTCGTGTCGTCGCCAGCACCCCTCGGAACCGCAAACTCCTTCCCGACCGTGTCTACCGTCAGCTCGCAACCAGTTTCGCCTATAATACAAGCCGAGACCGATCCCGCCTTTCCTCTCGTTCCCGCCACCTGGTCCGACGAGCACATCTCTGCAAACGTGTCTACGCACGACTCGCAATCAGCCACCTCAACAACCACCTCGAGCTCCCCAAATTCACCTACCCATCAACTACCACCTCCCGCATACGCATCCGTCGTTGCACCGCCGTACCAGCCTCCACGAATCATGGCAGACACGACATTCACAGGCACGCGCTCCGGGCTGTGTGCTAGCGATTTCCAAAAGCAGCTCACTAAAATCTTTTTCCGTTCACTCGCCTCGGACGCGGACAAGATCGAATACGCCGTTGCATGCTTTCCGTCTAATTCGCCCGCGGACAAGTGGTTCAAAGAGATGAAGACCCTTTCCGAGCAAACATCGACAGACCCGACGGTCACGAGCGCGATAGCTCTCGCCGGACAAGTCACCACAACCTGGTCCATATTCCTCACGGCGCTCAGGACAAGGTTTCCGGACCCCACGCCGGCTCAACGTCAACGCGCGGAGATTGAACGGTCAATCAAGAACGCTGTCTTGGATGTGTCGACCCTTGGGAAACTCGTGGACATCGATGGGCGGAAGGACTACACGCATATCGTCTTCGCCGACAAGCTCGAGGCCGACGTCACTGAAGGCCAGCTTCTCTCGAGCGACTGGTTCATGACGACCGTACGGGAGAAGCTGCCAATGGCCATACAGGTCTTGCTCGCACCATCTTACCCAGATTGGGAGGCCTTTCTCAAGGGCATCCGTAGTGTGGACGTCAGCCTTCTTGAGCAGGGAGCTGCACAGGAAATGGAGACCGATACCATGCGCCAGCGCCTCGCCTCACTCGAGCGACTCATGCAGAACATGAAGATATCGCCGGCCACAACACGGCCAGTGCCAGGGGGTCCGCCACGACCTGCAAGCGCCTCGCGAGCGGCCGCGATCCCGGCCGTTCAAGCTCAATCGGGCGTGACCGTTGCAAGCCCGCCAAATACCGAACGCGTCGAGACGGAAGTTCAGCTTCGGGCCGTCATGGCACGGTACCCGCAACGCCCCGACACCGCAGAGGGTCGTGCGAAGTACCTCGACGATGTTAGAGCCTGGCACGCCACATATGGCCGCGATGCCAGGGTCACAGGATCGACTGGATTCCCAATTCGCCCGGGCACCGAACCAGCGGGTACAGGTGAATGCTGGCAGTGCGGAAAGAAGGGGCATAGAGCAGTCTGTTCCGCTCCAGAGGCCGAGAGAGTACCGCAGAAGGAGCAGGTGTGGCGCCGTGTCGTGTACTGCATACGACGCGACATCCGAGCCGCACAAGGCCCCGTGGGTGTTAACGTCGTAGGTGCAGAGGACGACTACATGGCCGAGTACGAGTATGGGGTTAGCGGCCAGGCGTCGGGTGTATGGGAAGACGAAGAGGGAAAAGACTAAGGGCTGCTCGTATAGAGCACAAACGAGCAGCCCGTAGCTTATCTAGTGTTCCTTGTGTAAAGGTCCTCGAGTGTGACGCCGCGTCGCTCGAGGACTCAGATTCGAAGCGTGCGTTGGTTACTCGTGCCTCCTTTGATGGTGTACTGTCGTCTGCAAATAGATCAATCTTCGACCTGTATCAAGTTCGCGACAGTACAAGCAACGAGCAAAACGCCTTCATTGAGCCCGCCTTGCCATTCATTCACACGATCGCCCTACGTTGCCCACGCACTGGCGAGACCTTTAAGATCAAAGCCCTGTTTGATGACGGAGCGATGACTTGCGTCATGAGCTCGCGTGTAGTCGAACGCGCGCGCAAGATGTTGAAGGGCGGCTGGCGCAAAGCACGCCGTGTCATGCGAATGGCGAACGGGGCACTCATACCTTCGCAGGCGACGTGGGATGGAATGTTCGAACTGGAGACCGGCTTTTCGGTAGAGGGCCGTTTTGAGGTCTTACCTACGGATGGTGGATGGGATTTCTTGTTTGGCAAGCCTATGCTCTCAGCCTTTCGCGCCGTGCATGACTACGCTGATGATTCCATATCCATTCGCTGCAGACGAACGGACGGGTCGATCATTGCCACAACACTGTATAACTCACTACTGCCCCCGCCTCTTTCGCACCATGACGCCCCAGCATCAGCTCCGGAACCGGCTGTGGCCGCTACGAACAACCCGTCAAATTCGGATCCAGCGCCGTCGGCACCAAAACCGCACTCCGATCAGACCAATGCCACAACTCACACCGTTCCTATTAACATTACTGCATACCCGAACCGTCGTGTGATAGGTGCACCACCTCGAATACGGCCGCTGTATCGTGCCGCCTCTGCGAAGACTCAGATCGGGTGTTATCGTTGGTCGTTAACGTCTCCCGAGGGTTACACAAGACGACACATAGGCATTGGTGACAATATTCGGTGCGCTTCCGATAATGAAACACGTACCCGGAGTGATGCGGTCTTTGCAGTACAAGAACCGAACATCTACACCAGGGCTACGGACCCGTTCAATGGACAACGCATAGATGCTCTGCTCAAAGCGGTGCGCATTGATCCTGATGGCACGCTATCGCCAGACGAGTTCGCCCAGGTACGCTCTCTATTGATCGAGTTCGCGGACTGCTTTGCGCTATCACTGTCCGAAGTGTGTGCGGTCGACGGGGCAGTGCATCGGTTGGATGTTCCAGATGGTCATGAGTTCAGTCGCAAAGTGCACCAGAAGCCCCTCACGCCACCGCAGCGCGCATTTTTCAATAAGAAACTGGATGAGATGCTGGCCGCAGGCATTATTGAGCAGGTTCGGCCAGAGCAGGTTAAGGCATGTTCGCCGGTGCACCTCGCTCAGAAGGCACATGATGCCAACTCGGGACTGAGCACCGAGGAGTTAAAGCTGCGCGTCAACGAGCAATGCTTGCAGGGCGGCGTACACCCTTTTCATGATATCCCGGCTTCATTCAAACCTAGTGCTACTGACGCCGCTACACCCTCCGAGCAGAGCTGGCGAATCACGATTGCCTTCAACGAGGTCAACAACGTCACAAAGGTCGCTCCTATGCCGCAAGGGGACATTCGTGCGAAGCAGCAGCGGTTGAGAGGTCACCAATGGCTCTCCGTGTTTGACTTTGCATCGGGTTTCTATGCGTGCACGGTTGCGGAGGAGTCGCGACCGTATACGTGCTTCTATGTGGAGGGTCGCGGCTTCTTCTGGTACTGCCGCATGCCCTTCGGTCTCACGGGTGCACCCTCCACATTCGCTCATATGACGGCGACTGCATTGCATGATTTACTGCTTGAGGCAGTGATGGAGCTCTTCGTCGATGATGGTGGCTGCGCGGCAGACACGTTTGGCGACATGATGGATAAGTTACGCCGTGTTTTGACCCGTGTTCGCGAGCGCAAATTGTCTCTTTCGGCGACAAAAACAGTTCTGTTCGCAGTCCGCGCTGTCTTCGCCGGGGCAATGGTTGGCCCAGAGGGTGTCTCTCCCGATACGGCCAAGCTTAGTGCCATTGTGGATTGGCCAATTCCAGAATCAGCTGCAGAATTGGAGTCCTTTGTTGGGTTGACAGGGCATTTCCGGGACCTCATCCGCGATTATGCACGGATCGAGGGCCCACTGCGTAACATACTACGTCGGGTTCCCATGCCGTCGAAGCCCTCAAAAGCTGCCTACCGCCGTGCCATGCTTGCATTTGATGTTCGCCCGCATTGGGGCGAGGCTGAGAATCGGGCATTCTTAGCTCTGAAGTGCGCACTCACTTCCGAGCCAGTTCTGCGGAAGCCTGTCTTTGACGGCACACCTTTCATCGTCACTACCGACGGGTGTAAAGCAGGTTTCGGTGCAGTGCTCTCTCAGATCTTCACGACAAAGCTACCCAATGGTCGTCTAGTCACGAAGAGGCACCCAATCGCATTTGCCTCCAAGCGAACTTCCCAATCAGAGGAGCGGTACAAACCTTTTCTATTGGAGTTCGCAGCCTTGAAGTATGGCTGCGAGCGCTTCTCGGACATCATATGGGGATCACCGGTCATGATCGAGACTGACTGCCAGGCACTACGCGATGTCCTTTGCAGTGAGAAGCTGGGCGCTGTTCACGGCCGATGGCTGGACTCCATCATAGCTCACCACATTGTGGATGTGCGACATGTTCCGGGGAAGATGAACGTGGTCGCCGATCCACTGAGTCGTCTGCTCGAGGAACGCGCCCGCAAGGCCGGCGATGGCAGCGAGTTCTCAGTCAACCCCGATTGGGAATCTGATGCCGGCCTCGTGAACGACATATTTGTGGTTGACAGTGATGTCGCAGAACTTCGCGCGCGGTTTGTTACGGAACCCGTGTTCCTGGAGGTGGTTGATGCACTACTCGAGTTGGATGCCGGAGAGGACGTGCACAAGCGGCGCCGCGCGCGTCATCGAGCGGTGGACTATATGATTGAGGATGGGCGGTTGTACAAGATGATGCCCAAACCTGGATCGCGCGCCCGTTACCGGCTCGAGTGCATTTCGCGGCAAGAAGCCAGGGCTAAAGCTGCTGAGATCCACGCCGAAGGCGGACACTTCGGCCGAGAACGTGTCAGACTGGCGCTGGCTGACGCATACACGAGTCCGCGTATGGAGCAGTCCATTGTGACAGCGATCGCGGAGTGTGCCAAGTGCAAGAACTTCGGATCGACACACTTGCATTCGTTATTGCAGCCGGTGACGCGACGACACCCGTTCGAACTCGTTGTCGGCGACTATCTGAGCATGCCGGACGGCAAGGGCGGCTTCCACACCGTCGGTTTATATGTGGATGTGTACTCGCAGCACGTATGGGGTTTCAAGTACAAGACGGCGGGAAGTGCGAAAACCACCAGCGCAGCCTTGACAACCATCTTCCGCGACTTCCTTCCCGCCGACACATTTATGTCAGATGGCGGCAAGCACTTCAAAAACGCCGAAGTCCGCTCGGTCTGCGAGGAATGGGGAACAACACCCCACGTCATCTCCGCATACTCGCCATGGGTCAATGGTCTCGTCGAGGGATCAAACAAGATCTTTTTGCACGTCATCAAGAGGCTCTGTGCCCCAGATCTTGGGGAGGACGACACGAAGGACTTGTCAAAGGACGAGGCGGCGAAGCTCATGAAGAAGTGGCCCGACCATTTCGAACGCACAATCCACATCATGAACAACCGTTTACTGCCGGTTTTCAACATGTCGCCGAAGGAACTCCTATTCGGGCGCATACTCGGCACGCCTCCTACGCCGTTGGAGGAGAGCACGTCCAAGTTGCATTTGTCCGATGTGGAGCTTCAGGTCGCACACGTCGCACAGCAGAACCTGGACGGATACAGCGCGGCTGTCACACACGCGGTCAAGCGAAAGGATGCCTTCGATAAACGCGTCATCGGTAGTCGCGCGGGCGCGGTTACATTCAAACGCGGCGATCTAGTACAAGTCTACCGAAGCGACCTCGACTACACTTTCTCAACCTCACGCAAGATGCTTCCGAAGTGGTCGGCGGCACGCCGCGTTGTGTCGCGCCACGTCAACTCGTATCGATTAGCGACGGCGAGTGGTGTTCCATTGGAGGGCCTGTTTAGTGCCCGGCGACTGCGTCGCTTCGTGCCACGGCAAGGAACGCGCCTAGCCGCCCAACAGAAGAAGTTTGCGGAGCAGGTCGAGCGCGAGGAGGAGCGCAAGCCGGTGTGGCTGGAGGCTGCCCGAACGGCCGCGGCGCGTTCGGCGTTGTCGTCGCGCGACGAGGACGCCGCGCATATTTCGGGGGGGCATATGGGCCGGGGTGACCCGGAAGGAGGAGAGAGGGATGGAGAGGGAGAGGATATAGGAGGAGAGGGAGAGAGAGGGAAGGAGGAGGGAGAGGGAGGGAGAGTACAGGAAGATGGAGAGGAGGACCGGGAGGAGGAGGAGATGGCGGGG